TAATTTGCATTTCTCTAATTATTGAGGTTGAACATCTTTTCATGTTTAAAGGCCATCTTTTCTCTTTTTGTAAATTATCTCTCATGCTTTTGCTCATTTTTCTGATTTTTGGCCTCTTACTCTTTTTTTTTTTTTGTAAAGACAGGGTCTCACTCTGTCATACAGGCTAATGTATTGTACTGCAGCCTCAAACAACTGAGTAAGTGATCCTACTGCCTCAACCTTCCAAGTAGCTAGGACTACAGGCATGTGCCATGCCCAGGCAATTTTATTTTTATTTTTTGTAGAGGCAGGGTCTTGCTATGTTGCCCAAGCTGGTCTGGAACTCCAGGCCTCAAACGATCCTTTATCAATATTTGATTTTATTGCCTCTGGAATTCAGGGTCCTTACTTTCCCCACACCTAGGTTATGTAAGAATTTATCCAGGTTTTCTTAGTATTTGTATGGTTTCATTTTTGACATTTAGATGTCTGCCCTATTAGAAGATGATGAAGTTGATTCATATGTATGGTATTTTAACTTTTTCCAAACAGCTATATAATTGTCCCCATGCTATTTACTTAAAAATCTATCTTCCAGACTTCTGCTTCTAGCCATGAAAGAATAAACTGAATATACAAAACAACTACTTTCAGATATCGGGACAACAGACTACAGGAGTGTGACACCTGAAAGAAAGAAACAAAACCAAGTGAACCCTACGTTCACCTAGTTTTCTACCTACAGACAACTTCCAAACCATGTAGCAGAGAAGAGAACTCAAGACGACAATGGTGGTTTCACCGAGCGGAGGAGCAAACATCAGAGTACGGGCAGGTTGGGGCAGATGGAATTTGTGAGGTAGAGATAAGCAGCAAAAGAACTCCAGATATCTACATGGAGCTGCCTTGACTCACTGACTGAGCATTCACTACATATGTGTTGGGTGAACTTTCACAATGCCACAACCACTACGAAGAACAATTACAGCAGCTACAAGCTGAAAAACGCAGAGCTCACACAGGGCTGGGAGTCAATGGAGTCCTTATAAGCCAAAGTAGAGATCTCATTGAACACTCAAGTCAATCAGCAAAGAATCCTATTTTAGTAATTAGGCTAAACTAACTCTAGAGTAAAGGCTATGCCAGCCATGCCCTAAAAATACGTAAAAACACGAACTGCCTGCTGATACAAAAGATAAAATCCAAGTCATTAACAATGTTCAGCCTCAAACAAAAACTAGTAAATATGTTGTTTGTAGACATTGACAAGCTGATTCTAAAATTAATATGGAAATGAAAGTACTTAGAATAGCCAAAACAACTTTGAAAAAGCACAAAATTGGAGGATTTATACTATATGACTGAGACTTACTACAAGGCAACAGTAATTAAGACAGCATGGTACTGGTGTTAAGAATAGACATATAAATCAGTGAAACAGACTAGAGAGCCCAGAAATAGACCCACTCACATATGGTCAATTGATTTTTGACAAAGGGACCATGGTAAAACAGCAGGGATAGAACAGTCTCTTCAACATACGGTGTTGAGACAACTGGCTACCCACAGGCAAAGAAAATCAACTTCAACTCACACCTCATACTATACGCAAAAATTAACTTGAAATATCAGATAAGAATACACAAATATCAAAGAAAAAAATGAAATTAACTTTAAATGAATCATAGACGTAAATGTAAAGCTAATACTATAGAACTAAAAGAAAACACAAGAGTATCTTTGTGACCACAGAATACACAAAGACACAAAAAGCACAAACCATGAAAGAAAAAAAAAAGACTTCATCAAATGTACAAGATACTCTTTGAAACACATCCTAAAGGAAATAAAAAAAAAAAGCCACAGAGAAAATATTCACAATATACTTATCAAAGTACTTGTATGCCAAATGATAAAGAGAATGCTTATAACTCAGTCATATTTTAAAATATAGGCAAAAAATTTTATATGAATGGCCAAACAAGCACACGAAAAGCACATTAAAATCATTAGTATTCAGGGAAATACAATTTAAAACCAAAAGGAGATACTACTACATATCCACACAATGGCTAAAGTTAAAAAGTTTATAATATTAAGTGTTGGTGATGGACAGTGGCAGGAATGTAAAGTAGCATAAAATGGAAAACAGTTTGGTGGCCTTTTATGAAGGTAAATATACACTTACCACATGACCTAGTCATTCCATTCCTAGGTATTTACCCAAGAGAAATAAAAAGATGTCCACACAAAGCCTTGCACATGATGGCTGGGCACGGTGGCTCATGCCTATAATCCCAGCACTTTGGGGGGCCATGGCAGGTGGATCACCTGAGATCAGGAGTTTGAGACTAGCATGACCACCATAATGAAACTCCATCTCTACTAAATACACAAAAATGAGCCAGGCATGGTGACACACGCCTGTAATCCCAGCTCCTCAGGAGGCTGAGGCAGGAGAACTGCTTGAACCCAGGAGGCAGAGGTTGTAGTGAGCCAAGATTGTGCCCCTGCATTCCAGCCTGGGCGACAGAGCAAGGCTTTGTCTCAAAAATAAACAACTTGTGCATGAATGTTCATAGCAGCTTTATCCAAAACAGCACAGCTGCAAACTGTTTATTTGCCTAAATGTCCATCAACAGGTAAATAAACTGTGGCATATCCATACAATGAAATACTACTCAGAAATAAAAATAAATGAACTAATGACATGTGCAACAGCATGTATGAACCTCAAAAACATATCATGGTTCAAAATGTAGGAATATACAATATAGGCCAGGTGCAGTGGCTCAAGCCTATAATCCCAGCACTTTGGGAGGCCAAGGCGGGAGGATCATCTGAGGTCAGAAGTTCGAGACCAGACTACCCAACATGGTGAAACCTGTCTCTACGAAAGATGTAAAAAAAATTAGCCAGGTGTGGTGGCGCACACCTGTAATTCCAGCTACTAGGCAAGTTGCGGCAGGAGAAACACTTGGACCCGAGAGGCGGAGGTTGCAGTGACCCAAGATTGTACCACTACACTCCAGCTTGGGTGACAGAGTGAAGTTCCATCTCAAAAAATAAAAAAGAATATACAATGCAGTGTACATTTCTAACAAATTCTAGAACTGCAAAATTCATCTGTATCAACAAAAAGTAGATCAGTGGTTACCTGGGCAAGAGGTAAGGGTTGGGGACTCACTGCAAAGGGGCACAGGAAACTCTGATAGAAATGTTTTAGATCTTGACTGTGATGGTGGTTGCATGGGTGTCTATATTTGACAAAACTCATCAAACTGTACACTTAAAATAGATGCATTTCCTTACATGTAAATTACACCTCAATAAAGTTAATTTTTTTAAATCCATCTTTAGTTCCAGTGATTCGAGAAGAAATCCATTTGAAAGAAAAAAAAAACAATGTTTAAATAGATTTCAATTTAAAATAGTCATGGATCAAAAAGCAACATACAAACATAAACATAAAACAAAGATTACTTAAAAGCAAGGATTGAAAAACTCTGGCCCTTAACTTGATTAACCTAGGAAATAAATATGAAGAGATAATATCCTTATTTATGTCTACTATTACAAAAAGCACAACATACATCTAAAGGGCTATACTGGCAAAATTCTCAATAACAAGACTGAAATGTTATTCCACAGAGTCGCTTTCTCTCCACTATGCCTCTCTGTTGCCAGATCCCCTCTCCTTTTCTGTCTCTGACTGTAACTGACCATAAACAAATTGAAACATTCTACTTTAACACAAATGATTAGTTCTTATTCTTTTTTTTTTTTTTTTTTTTTGAGACTGAGTCTCGCTGTGTCACCCAGGCTGGAGTGCAGTGGCCGGATCTCAGCTCACTGCAAGCTCCGCCTCCCGGGTTCACACCATTCTCCTGCCTCAGCCTCCCGAGTAGCTGGGACTACAGGCGCCCACCACCTCGCCCGGCTAGTTTTTTGTATTTTTTAGTAGAGACGGAGTTTCACCGTGTTAGCCAGGATGGTCTCGATCTCCTGACCTCATGATCCGCCCGTCTCGGCCTCCCAAAGTGCTGGGATTACAGGCTTGAGCCACCGCGCCCGGCCTTAGTTCTTATTCTTTAAACAGTGAACATTTTATATAGTTTTTACTTTAAAAATTGAAACTTTATGTTTTACTTATGTAGTCTGGCTCATTTTGATCTATATGTATAGTGAAAATAGCCCAAAAAATATTGTCATCGACAACATTCTTTGAACCAGTAAAATATCTGACTTCACATTTTATAAGTACTACTTACCACCTTACTTTTGGTCTATAAATTTTACTCATTTAAGTGATACTTACTATTATTATAATTTGATATATCTACAGTTTATGGATATCATGAGAAAAACTATGCATCATGCAAGGCTAACGAAAAAACAAATGCTTCTTGTAATAACGGTGTCATATATCAAACATATAAGGAAAAGCTAAATATTCAACAGCTATAAAAATATCAGCTTGATTTAATACATTCCAAATATGGATGGGCTCCTTTTCTATTTTGGTTTTAACCATGTAATTTTACTTCCACTCCACTAACAACTAAACACATCAGATTAAGCCAATCATAAATCTAGTTAATGTCTAATTATGTAACACATTTCTATTACCATTAAACAGAATGGTAGCCATCAAAGAGCAGATACTCTTAGAACAATTCCATTATAATCAGAAGAGTCAGCACTGAATACAATTGCTCTAGTGCCCTATAATTAGGAAAGAGAAAGCATTTTATTGTAAGAACATGGATTCCAACTGTTACATACCAGTTCAGACGTTACCTAACAAACTACCATGTTTGATTTTTACTAATCATAAAAGGAGGTAGTTTGTGTAACAAAAAAAAAAAATTCACACATATCAACTGCTTATCTTGACTAAACTCAGACTCCTTACTAAGACATTATCATTTCCTTCTATTAACAGAGATAACATTTTACATCAGTGTGTTATACCTAAGTTTCATTTTGGCTGTACAGTCGTTTTTCTGAACTCTTACATTTTTGTGACATTCCTTAAGCAAGTTAATCAAGACGTTGCATTCTTCAGTATGCAAGTGTGGAGATAAGTCAGCATGCATCTTTAGGAGATGATGATGGATCACAGCAGTGCAACCTGTGGATACAAGAGTGTGTTGAATATGCATAAATACATTTGTTATGCCACCTAAAAGTATCTTCAGTAAGAACCTTCAGTGACCTTTATCAGAAAAGTATGTTAACCATTAACCAGCTGTGTGACCTCAGGCAAATTATTAAACTTCAGCCAAAGCTTTCTAAATTCAATGATTTAACATATTCAGCAAGTTATCAGTAGTGTTTAGAGAACCTGCAGGTTCAGAAGAAAACCAGGAAGCCTCAAGAGACGCAATCCCAGAAATAAGTGCTAAAGCAGAAATAGCTTGCTTATATTAATAAGCGTGACTTCAAATATTTTTGCCCATTCCCGAAATTAACAATTCATTTTGTTCAGATTTGTTAAGAGAATTGGCTTATTATTTTAAAATGTATATTATTCTGAGGGTTAAGGGGTCATTAGTCTCATATTAGTGTGAATATAGATTGCTTTTTTCTTAATAGCTGGCTGAAAAAAAACTAAACAATGAAATGACACCAGAAGTTGTAAAAAAAAATTTCAAATTTAACAGATACAGCCATAAAACTAATTATTACACTGAAAACATGAAGCTGAAATCTCTGAACTTAAGCTTAACTGGTTCATTCACAAAGTGGAAAATTAGCAGCCAAGGTCAAAGGAAAAACATTATGGGCAGCTGTTCTTTTTTTTTTTTTTTTGGTAGTCAGAGGTCTTGCTGTGTTGCCCAGGCTGGTTCCAAACTCCTGTCCTCAAGTGATCCTCAGCCTCCCAAAGTGTTGGGATAGACATGAGCTACCGTGCCCCACCTGGGCTTAACCTATTCTTTCTAACTCAGAAATGATTACCAAAAGAAAGAACCTACAAGTTGCTTTCATTTTTTAAAAGCTCCAAATAGAAAACAGGAACCAACTCACATCCATTAGGATGGCTAATGCTGAAAAAACCCAGAAAGTAACAAATGCTAAAGAAGATGTGGAGAAACTGATGTGGAGAAACTGAAATTCTTGTGCACTGTTGGCGGGCATGTAAACTGGGATAATCACTGTGGAAACCAGTATAGCAGTTCCTCAAAAAATTAAAAATGAAGTTACCATATGATCCAACAATTCCACTTCTGGCTATATGCTCAAAAGAATTAAATGCAGGATTTTGAAGAGATATGTGAACACCCATGTTCACAGCATATTACTCATAATTAAAACATGGAAGCAACCCAAGAGCCCAACAGACGAAGGGATCAGCACAATGTGGTATATACATACAATGGAACACTATTCAGCCTTAAAACGGAAGGAAATTCTGACATATGCTACAACATGGATGAACCGTGAGGACATTCTGAGTGAAATAAGCCAGTCAAAAAACATATATATAGGGTTCAACATACGCAAAATAAATGTGATTCACCACACAAATAGAATTAAACACAAAAATCACGCGATTATCTCAATAGAGAAAAGCCTTTGATAAAATCCAACATCCCTTCATGATAAAAACCCTCAACAAACTAGGCACTGAAGAGTAAACCTCAAAATAATAAGAGCCATCTATGATAAACTCACAGCCAAAATCATATGGAACAGGCAAAAGATGAAAACATTTTCCTTGAGGACCGGAACAAGGGAACAGGATGCCCACTCTCACCACTCCTATTCAACACAGTACTGAAGTCCTAGCCAAGGCAATCAGCCAAGAGAAATAAAAGGCATCCAAATAAGAAAAGAAGTCAAACTGTCTCTCTTCACTGATGATATGAGTCTATACCCAGAAAACCCTAAAGACTCTGCCAAATGACTTTAGTAGTTTCAGGATACAAGATCAACACAGAAAAATCAGTAGCATGTCTATACACTAAAAACTTTCAACCTTAGAGCCAAATCAAGAAAGCAATCCCATTTTCAACTGCCACCAAAAAAATAAAATACCTAGGAATACATCTAACCAAGGAGGTTAAAGATTTCTACAGGAAGAACTACAAAACACTGCTGAAAGAAATCACAGATGACACAAACAAATGGAAAAACATTCCGTGCTCATGGATTGTCAGTATCATTAAAATGGCCATATTGCCCAAAGCAATCTACAGATTCAACACTATTCCTATCAAACTACCAATGGCATTTTTTCACAGAATCAGAAAAAGCTATCCTAAAATTCATATGGAACCAAAAAGGGGCTCAAATAGCCAAAAGAATCCTAGGCAAAAAGAACAAAAACCAAAGGTATCACATTACCCTACTTCAGACTATAAGGCTACAATAACCAAATCAGCATGCTTCTCCTACAAAAACACACACATGGACCAATGGAACAGAACAGCCCAGAAATAAAGCCATACACCTTCTGATCTTTGACAAAGTCAACAAAAACAAGCAATGGCAAAAGGACTTCTCATTCAATAAATGGTGCTGGGATAGTTGGCTAGTTATATGCAGAAGAATAAAAGTGCACCCCTACCTTTCATCGTATATAAAAATTAACTCTAGATAGATTAAAGATTTACATAGAATGCCTCAAACTACAAGAATCCTAGAAGAAAACCCAGGAAACACCATTCTGGACATTCGCCTTAGGAAAGAACTAGGACTAAGTACTCAAAAGCAGTTACAAGAAAAACTGAAACTTAATTAAAGATCTCAAAACAGCAAAAGAAACTATGAATAGAATAAACAGATAACCTACAGAATGGGAGAAAATATTCACAAACTATGCATCCAACAAAGGTCTAATATCCAGGATCTATAAGGAAATTAATTCAACAAGCAAAAAATAAATAATCCCATTAAAAAGAGGGCAAAAGGCTGGGCGCGGTGGCTCACATCTGTAATCCCAGCACTTTGGGAGGCCGAGGCAGGCAGATCACAAGGTCAGGAGTTCGAGACCAGCCTGGCCAATATGGTGAAACCCCATCTCTACTAAAGATACAAAAATTAGCGGGGCATGGTGGCAGGCACCTGTAGTCCCAGCTACTTGGGAGGCTGAGGCAGGAGAATGGCTTGAACCCGGGAGGCAGAGGTTGCAGTGAGCCAAGATGGTACCACTGCACTCCAGCCTAGGTGACAGAGTGAGACTCCATCTCAAAAAACAGAACAAATATTTAAAAAAAAGTGGGCAAAAGACACGAACAGCCTCTTCTCAAAAAGACATACAAGTGGCCAAAAAACATGAAAAAATGCTCAACATCACTAATCATCAGAGAAATGCAAATCAAAACCATAATGAGATACCACCTCACATCAGTCAGAATGGCTATTACTAAAAGTCAAAAAAAACACAGATGCTAGGGGAGGTTGTGAGAAAAGAGAATGCTTATACACTGTTGTGGGAATGTCATTTAGTTCACCCACTGTGGAAAGCAGTCTGGAGATTTCTCAAAGAATTTAAAACAGCTACCACTTGATCCAGCAATCCCATTACTGGGTATATAGCCAAAAGAAAATAACCATTCTACAAAAAGAGAAACATGCACTCATGTGTTCTTTATAGCTCTATTCACAATAGCAAAGACATGGAACTAACCTAAGTGTCTATCAGCAGTGGACTGGATAAAGAAAATGTGATACATATACACCGTGGAATACTAAACAGCCACAAAAAAGAATGAAATCATGTCCTTTGCAGCAACATGGATGCAGTTGGAGGCCATTATCATAAGTGAATTAATGCAGCAACGGAAAGCCAAATATGGCATATTCTCACTTATAAGTGGGAGCTAAACACCGGATACTCACAAACAAAGATGGCAACAAAAGACACTGGCAACTAATAGAGGGTGGAAGGAGGGTAAGGGCTGAAAAACTGTTAGGTACTATGCTCACTTACCTGCATGACGGGATCAACTGTACCCCAAACCTCAGCATCACCCAATGCACCCATGTAATAAACCTGCACATTACTTACCCCCAAAATCTGAAATAAAAGTTTGAAGCTATACATTTTTTAAAAGGCAAGTATTTTAACCTTCCACTTATATGAGGCACCTAAAGTAGTCAAAATCAAAGAGACAGAAAGTGGAATGGTGGTTACCAGAGGGAGGTGGAAGGGCAGGAGGAGAAGAATGGGGAGTTAATGTTTAATGGGCAGAAAGTTTTACAAGATAAAAAGTATTATGGAGATGGACAGTGGTGATGGTTGCACAACATTATTAGTGTATTTGATACCATTGAACTGTGCATTTAAATGGTTAAGATGGTAAATTTTATGTTATGTGTATTTCACCATACAAATTTTATGGTAGGTAAATTACACCTCAAGCTGTTAAAAAAAAAAAATTGTGAGAAATTCAAACTGTCCATCCACCTCTCACTCAACAAAAACAAAAAATTGGCAGAACAAATAATTCCAAAGGATTACAGCATAGCTACTATTTCAATTGCAACTTATAAAAATGCAGTAGGTCCCTGTTCTATTCAGTAACTACTAAACACACACACACAGCTGAAGACCACAAATAAAGCCATTGCACCCAGCTAAGTATTTATTTGCAACGAAAAAAAATGCAGCCAAGTTCAAATTGTTTGCCTGCCACTGACCCCAAGATCCTTCCAATGACATCTATTTTTTGCCTTAGAAAAATTAAGTTTCATACAGTTCAGCAATTTAAGTCATCTAATATCATACCAATGTTATGCACCTACATTTATGTGATGTGCTAGTTATCTGGTTTCTGCCTTATTTTTTCCTAAAGAAAACATACACTGGTATAGGCCAGGGGCGGTGGCTCACACCTGTCATCTCAGCACTTTGGGAGGCTGAGGCAGGTGGATCACCTGAGGTCAGGACTTCAAGACCAACCGGGTCAACATGCCGAAACCCCATCTCTACTAAAAATTAAAAAAATTAGCCCGGCATGGTGGCGGGCGCCTGTCATCCCAGCTACTTGGGAGACTGAGGCAGGAGAATCGCTTGAACCTGGGAGGCAAGGTTGCTGTGAGCCAAGATGGCACCACTGAACTCCAGCCTGGGTAACAGAGCAAGACTCCATCTCAAAAACAACAACGACAGAAAACAAACACTGGTTTAATCACTAGAAAATGTCTCTAACATTTTCTAAATGTATTTGACAAAATATTTTTGCACTTTTCTATCAACTGGCACTCAAATGTGTGCCTTTACAATTCAGAAACAAGCTTATGATGTACCAAAATGACTTCTTTAATTGACAAATACTTGAGAAGACACTGACTAATATTAATAGATGCAAAGATGTATATAAGCCTAAGTACCTAAAATGGTATATATTTTCCTCCCTCTATAACAAGTTTACCTCAAATATGTATGCTATTGTTGATCTCGGTGGTGTACCAGTAAAACGTCTTCCCTTCTAATTCTCATTATTTAGTTTTACTTTTAATTGACAAATAATAATTGTATATATTTACGAGGCTCTTCTGCTTTCTTAGCTTAGATGACTATGTCAAAGAATAAAATGATTTAATTTCATTTCCTTTTCCTATTCTTGGTAAGAAAGTACTACTTAACCTAAAGCTCTAAACACTCACCTTGTCCCTTATCCAACAGATTCCTTGCTTTCCCCGTCACTCCTTTCTTTCTTCTACCATATATTTTTAGCTGGATAGGCTCTTCCTCCCCCTGCCTTCTATATACCCGTCACCTATGCTCCCTTCCATCCACTTTGTGTCACTTGGCTTTACCTAAATGTTGGTGCATACACAGATGTACTGCTGTATTCTGGGGTGTAATACACAAGGTACAACTGTAAAACAATGGCAATGTTCTCTCAGAACACATGGAATTAAGTGCTGATGTGTTCCAGCACTCACCTTTAAAAAACTATTCTAGTAACACAATTTAACTCAAAATACATTTTACAAACTAAAGAAAAGCTAAATATGTATTCCATACTCTTATTCTTAAAATTTCTTCAAACTCATAAGGTATCATTATTAGTTTAGAAAATAATTTGTTGAACACTTGCCACGTGCTAAGCACAAGTCTTATAATGCAACAACCCTATGAAATAGGTAGCCTTTTAAATTCAGATGAACCATGAGAAACTGTCTTTTTACAGGTCAAAATATGCACTGCCCACATTTTCATAGAGAAACTAAGCCCCAGGTCACATAGCAGTTAGCTACAAAGTTACATACAACCCAACATAATCTCTAACCATGACAGATTTTTTAATCCATGTTCAAAATAGGAAAGACATGCCTTCACAGCAGTTTGTGAATGAAATAAATTCAAATGGAAAAAACTATTCCCAAAGAGCTTCTGACTACAAGTTCAACAGGTAGTCATTCTAGGCCCAAGTTCCACAGCAGTCAACATAATATTATTCTGTAAGTGTGGAAATAGTGAGTCTGTCAAGACACACACAAAAAGAGAAGAGTATTCTATTTGTCATTAGTCAGCTACTCACAAGTTATGTCATTTTGGTTACTAATCTGAGACCTGAGTCTCTCTTCCATAAAATGGAATTTGCTCTTGACCTATATCTCAGTGATGGCATGGGTTTAAAATAACTTATGTGAAGCTGGAAGCAATGGCTCACGCCTGTAATCTCAGAACTTTGGGAGGCCACATCACTTGAGGTCAGGAGTTCGAGACCAGCCTGGCCAACATGGTGAAATCCAGTCTCCACTAAAAATACAAAAATTTGCTGGGTGTGGTGGTGGGGGCCTGTAATCCCAGCTACTTGAGAGGCTGAGGCAGGTGAATCGCTTGAGCCCTGACGCCAGAGGTTGCAGTGAGCTGAGATGGCACCACCTTCACTCCAGCCTGGGTGACAGAGTGAGACTCCATCTCAAAAAATAATTACGAACATCGGCATGATGGAAACGAGAGTGAAAGGAACCTAAGACCTCGTTCTTGGATGTTTCCAGTGAAATAGAGAGGGAGGGATAAATTCCATTCAAACTGTTATTATTTGAATAGAGTAATAATATTTAATTCCAGTGCAGACCCCATGCCAGGCTGCTCCTGGGAGCGACCCCAGGGGCTGCCTGGGGAGAAAGGCTTAACTACTCTGACTTCCACCAAAGAGTTTGTTAGTCTCATCTTTACACTGGCATTTGAGAAAACATCAAAAGGGTAAATTTGTCACGATTTCACCACCTCCCTCCTCAATCCAGCCCCATCCACTGTGTGTATGCACACAATACCAAACAGTCCACTGAAATCCCTTAAAATTTTCAGCTGTCAAATGTAGTTTGATAGCTAGCTAAGGGGCCCATAAGGGCAATTTTAACTTTTCCTGGGGAGTAAGCTGAGAGGATAGAAGCGGTAGGGTACTCTTAGTGAAGATATAAAGAATTATAGCTTTATTTTACTCCTTCAACCTTAGTCTACAGACTCTGAGGTACAATTTTCCTCAAGAGCTGTCTAAGACAGATTTCAACCACCAGGTGGCACAATTTTAGAAAATAAATCAAGAGCGCTGTATTAACTCTAAAGAAAACGGGTAAGCATTCTAGTAACTCACTGCAGCAAATCAATAATCACAAGGAAGAGCCCTGTATTTTAATGCCAGTTGGCTTTTCTTTAGAAAGACTTTCCTACTGTGCGGCTGCACAGGAAATTTACACTACAGTTGTAATTTCTAATATTACTGCAAAACATGCAAAAAACAAGGCCAGAAAAGTCTGTTGTTCAGGGTCTGAAGAATCTGTTCTCCAGAAAAAAACTGTAAACACTCCGCTTTCTAAAAATACATTTTTTTTTTTTTTTTTTTTTTTTTGAGGCGGAGTTTCGCTCTGTCGCCCAGGCTGGAGTGCAGTGGCCAGATCTCAGCTCACTGCAAGCTCCGCCTCCCGGGTTCACGCCATTCTCCTGCCTCAGCCTCCCGAGTAGCTGGGACTACAGGCGCCCGCCACGTCGCCCGGCTAGATTTTTGTATTTTTTTAGTAGAGACGGGGTTTCACCGGGTTAGCCAGGATGGTCTTGATCTCCTGACCTCGTGATCCGCCCGTCTCGGCCTCCCAAAGTGCTGGGATTACAGGCTTGAGCCACCGCGCCCGGCCGGGCGCGGTGGCTCAAGCCTGTAATCCCAGCACTTTGGGAGGCCGAGGTGGGCAGATCACTTGAGGTCAGGACCAGCCTGGCCAACATGGTGAATCCCTGTCTCCACTAAAAATACAAAAATTAGCCGGGCGTGGCCTGTAACCCTAGCTACTCGGGAGGCTGAGGCACGAGAATCACTTGAACCCGGGAGGTGGGGGTTGCAGTGAGCCGAGATCGCGCCATTGCACTCCAGCCTGGGCGACAGAGCAAGACGCCGTCTCAAAATAAAATTAAAACAATAAAAATATATAAAAATAAATAACGTTAAACATTTTTAAAGCCTACATTTCGGCCCTGGTATTAGTTAAATAATTATTTTTCAACTTTTCAAACTATGAGCCATACTGCAGGAGAGGTAGCAGACACAGTCAGGGACTGCCTCCCCTGCCCGCTTCCACTTATCACAGCGACTTCTCACAGGACCAGTTCTGAACCGATACCACCAAGAACGTAACTGGTGCTAGTACTGTAGACCCCATGCCAGGCTGCTTCTGAGACGGACCCCTGGGGCTGCCTGGGGGAGAAGGGCTTAACTACTCTGACTTCCACCAAAGAGTTTCTCAGTGAATGCGACCTCGCAGCTTTCCCTGAATAAACATTACCAGGACTTACAAGGTGCCGAGCACTCTGCCAAAATCATGTGAATTTCAGAGGAAAATATTCGTTCATACATCTCAAGGAACGCACGGGCTCGTGGAGGAGCATTCTTGCAAATGCACGTGGTAAATGCCCAATCCATGTTCGCTAAATGTCAGAAATTGACAACTAGTTCAGGCCTCAACGCAGCAGGAAAAGGATGAAAAAGAAACTCATTTTAAATCAACTAAACAAGTGCAAAAGGCACGCATATACAGGAGGAGATACGAATGGCATCACAACACAATTCCTTTGCCATCGAAAACTTACATGCCTTTAAGGTTTTCAGTGAAGACTTCCAAAACTGATTTATTTAAGACTCTACATAAAACGCCTGATCTTTAAACCCAGGAAAAGAAAGGTGAGTGTATCACTTTCCTGGGGGGGGAAAAAAAAAAAGGTACTAAAGGGGAAAAAAAGAGTAAAGTGTACTGACCGGCACAGGGCACTGCAGCTGAGACGTGCTTGAACGGCGCCCGTTTTCTACCTGCAAATTCTCAATTGCTAGATAAACAACAACACCACTTTATTGGGCGCTCATCGTGTCAAACCCAGTGTTGAGGGTTCCATTCCTCAAGGCCCATTTTACAGGCGAGGAAGCCCCGGCTCCGGGAGGGAAGGAGCGCGCCCAAGGTCACCAGCCAGTGAGTGGCGGGCGGATTCTAACCCTGAGCGACGCCCAAGGCCGCTCCTAGCCACCAGCATGTTCCAGCTAGCGCCCAGCCATCTCACTCGCGGCCTCCCCAGCGCAGCAGCCCGGCTATGGGCCTGCGGCAGTCGGGTCTTCCGGGTCCCCATCTCCTGGGGCCGACCGGCGGCAGGAAGGGGCTCAGCGGGACGCGTTGTCAGGGGACCTGAGGAGGGACAACGGACAGCGCTCGGAACGGCCCGGACTCCCAAGACTCACTGGACTCGCGGCCACACCGGGAGAACTGAAGCGGCAGTCACCGACGGAGACGCCCGACCCGAAGGCCGGCTGCAGGGGAACCGAGAACTGAACCGCCTGCCAGACACCGAAGGCTAGTGACGCCCTCCACCGCTCCACGGCGGTCCGGGCTCCCCGCCCCCGCTGCCCGCGGGCCCCGAGGCGCATGCACCGCCTGGCCTGGACGGGCCCATTTCAGTCCGTCGTGGGGGGAGGCACAGTGAGTCCACTGAGGCACGACAGCGTCTAAGTCACAAGCCGAGCACACAAGCCAGACGCTAACGGAGCCTATGTGTAAATCCACTAGTGGTGCAAGGCTGTACACTTGTAAGAACAGCGGCGCAGGGGTTCGGCGACCTTCGCTTCAGTCGCTCCCCCGTGCAATCCCCTGTACCCAAGACTGTTGCTTGCGCTCCGCTGGGCGGGGCTTGGAGGCGGCGGGAACTGCAATTGGTGGCTTTGAAGGCGCGGCGGGCGGGAACAGCTGCCGAAGAGGGAGACTGAAGGAGATGTGGGCCGGTAAGAGAGCCCCGGGCGGCATTGGATCGGGCCCGGGAGGGTGTGGGGCCTTGAGGAAGCCAGATCCCAGGCCTCGGGGAGCGGCTTTTTCCTAATTGTCGCACGTTATGAGGCTTAAGATTGGCGCTGGGTCTCGGGCTCGGGGCGGGGAACTACGGTTCGGGCCGAGGTGAGGGGGCGGTGACGCTGTGCCGGACGTGACGTCACCTCGCTCGCGGTGGGGCGGGTCGAACCGTACGTAGGCACGCGACTGCGTCAAAGGCGGGCCGTGTGGTCATGTGACCAGGGGCTCCGCTCTCCGATCCTGGGTTGCTTCCTGGCCCAGAATTGGGGTTTTGCTTTTCTGTCACCTCGGCTTCCGTCGTTTTTCGGCCGTGTAGCCTCTTGCGTTGCTCCTCGCGCTGCCTGTTGGAGCTCTGCAGAGGTGTGTGGCTACGGGAACGTTACTTAAAATGGATCTTTTTGATCATGCGTTCCGCAGACCTTGAGTATCTACTGTATGCCAGGCACTAAAGCGCTAGGAAGTACAAAGAAAGTTTAAAAATGGGACCGGGCGCGGTAGTTTACGCCTGTAATCCCAGTACTTTGGGAGGCGGAGGCGGGTGGATCACGAGGTCAGGAGTTCGAGACCAACCTGGCCAACATGGTGAAACCCCGTCTCTACTAAAAATAGAAAAATTAGCCGGACGTGGTATCAGGTGCCTGCAATCCCAGCTATTTGGGAGGCTGAGGCAGGAGAAGCGCGTGAACCCGGGAGGCGGAGGTTGCAGTGAGCTGAGATAGCGCCACTGCACTCCAGCCTGGGCGACAAAGCGAGACTCTGTCTCAAAAACAACAAAAAAAGGAAAGTTTAAAAATGGTCACAGGGGCAAACTTTTACTAAAGGGATTTCCATCTTAATTGGTGAGATTGAGTGCGCTCTACCAAATTTCTTTAGACTGGCGTTCTGCAAACTTTACCCGGAATTAATCATCTGATCTACTCTTTAAAAGATGCTAAATCTCAAGCCTTCCGTGCGCCCTCCCCACAGTTTAATTTGATAGGGCCCAGGAATCAATTTTAACAGCCTCGCCTCGCCTGTGTGTGTGTGTGTGTGTGTGTGTGTGTTTTGTTTTTTTTTGAGTCTTACTCTGTCGCCCATGCTGGAGGGCAGTGGCACATTCTTGGTTCACTGCAACCTCCTCCCGGATTCAAGCGGTTCTCCTGCCTCAGCCTCCCGAGTAGCTGGCACTACAGGTGTGCGTCATGACATCCAGCTACTTTTTGTACTTCTAGTAGAGACGGAGTTTCACCATGTTGGCCTGGGTGGTCTCGAACGCCTGACCTTGTCAAGTGATGCACGGTGCTGGGCTCGCTCCTGGCCCCTCGCCCGTGTTCTTAATGGGAGAGGTGTTGATTTGATGTTTCACTGACTGTTGAATCCCAGTTCGCCCAGGTTGTCTCCTCAGGCATTCATTCCACAAGTATTTATCAAGGACGCAGTAGACTGTTCTTGGCTATAGTGACGCCTTTCCGGTCGAGGAGTATAACTGTGAATAAAAACATCGTCCTGCCCTGGAGCTCAATTTTAGAAACAAGAAAATTTAAAAAGATAATTTCAGACAGTTCCATAAAGACAATTAGCAGTGCATGGCCTGGCACAGTGGCTCACACCTGTACTCCCAGCACCTTGGGAGGCCGAGGCGGGAGGATCACTTGAGATTGGGAGTTCAAGACCAGCCTGACCAACATGGTGAAAGCCCCATCTTTACTAAAATAGAAAAATTAGTTCGGTGTCATGGTGCACACCTGTAATCCCAGATACTCAGGAGGCTGAGGCAGGAGAATCATTTGAACCTGTGAGGCAGAGGCTGCAGTGAGCAGAAATCACGCCACTGCACTCCAGTGTGGGCGACCAAGCAAGACTGCATCTAAAAAAAAGGAAAAAAAAAAAAATTAGCAGTGGAGAGTGGGGGAAGTAACTTTTGGTTGGGTGGTCAGGATAAGTCTGAGGAGAAACCATCTAAGCTAACACCTGAATGACAAGAAGTCACTGGAGAGAACATGTGCAGGAAGACCCTTCTAGGCAGTCGTAACTGCAGGCACAATGGTCCTTCTCCAAAGAGATTATTTAACTAAGAGACTAGTGTAGCTGGAGCTCAGAAAATCAAGGAGAGGGAAGCGGGGGCCACGCAACACAGGGCCTTGTAGACCATGGTGAAGGCTTTAGATGGTCCAGTAACTACACAAAGAAACAAATCCGACTCCTGTTTCATGATCCTGATTCTGTTCCTACAGCCTTAATTCAGTTATTTTTCTCTTTCTAAACGACTCCTAATCCTTCCTCTTTATCTTTGTTTTACTATCATTTTCAGTATATTTTTAAATACAGTTAACTATTTCTTTTCAGAAGTAGACAAGGATAATTTTTCAGTTTTCAACAAATAAGTCATAGCCAGGACTCTTGTAGGAAGATACTTCTTTGTCCCTGGAATTCCCAAAGTTGTAAAGGAAACAGGTAAGACTACAGGCTTGTGTCTTAAACACAGACACCCAAGGTCTGTGTGTGCCTTCCTAGAAGATACACTGTTAAGGGACATTAAAGTATGCAGGTTGTACCCTGCATTGTTTAAAAATCATGTTTGCAGACCGCACGTTGGCTCACACCTGTAATCCTAGCACTTTGGGAGGCCGAGGCGGGCAGATCACTTGAGGTCAGGAGTTTGAGACCAGCCTGGGCAACATGGTGAAACCCTGTCTCTACTAAAGACACAAAAATTAGCCAGGTGTGGTGGTGCATGCCTGTAGTCCCAGCTACTTGGGAGGCTGAAGCAGGAGAATCACTTGAACCAGGCTGGGGAGGTTGCAGTGAGCTGAGGTCGCACCACTGCACTCCAGCCTGGGTGACACAGTGAGACTCTATCTCGAATGAAAAAAATAAATAAATATCAATGTTTGTTTGCTTTTTTGTTCTGTATTTGAAGAGAGAGAGAGATGCTCACTGGTGTCCCCAAATAAAGTAGCAGAGGAGAGATCAGCTGTCAACATTGGCTCACAACTTCTGCCCAGAGGAAAATAATAAAAGAGCTCAGAATCTTCCTTCCTTATTCCTTCAGCCGCTAGGTCATTCCTCTGGAGATTATATCCCTTGCCTATTGATGAGGGAGCCACACTGGATTTGGGGCTCGGGACCTTTTAGACAGTTGAGGAATCTCACCTTCAGGCATGGGCAGGAGAAGTGAGGGAGGAAAGAGCTCTTTGTTCACAGGCAGTGCATAAAAGGACCAAGAGACAGCAATCCACTGCACCGCTAGCTCTTAGCATGTCCTGTGGACTCACAGATCCAACTGCTTATTCAGTATCTCCTTTGGACTCTCACCTTTATCTTAATATTAACAGATTGAGAATAGATTTCCAGAATTCCTGAGCTTTCTTCTTTCCCTGTCGCAGTCTTGACCATCTCAGCTAATAGTAACTTTGTCTTTTAGTTCCCTGGTAAAAACCTTGGTTTCATCTTTGGTTCTTTTCTTGATCTAACACCCCACAAGTAATCCATCTAGAAACCCCATGAGTTCCCTCTTAAAAGTGTATCCAGAATCTGACCTCTTCCTCTGCCTCACTAACCTCCAATCTCTGTCCTCGCCTCCTTACACTGTGTTCTCAGTACAGTAGCCAGATTGATCCTGGCAGAAAAGCTAAACAAGAGCATGTCCTGCCTGTGCTCAGCACCTTGCAGAATGAAAAAAGCAGTGATCCCTGCAGTGGCTTTCAGGGCCCTCCATGATCACTGACCTCACCTCCTTCTCTATGCCTCCTTCCTGTCTCTGCTGTGCCCTCACTGGAGACCACCCTTCCCTGTTCCTTGAAGGCCCCAAGCAGGCTCTTGCCTCGGGACTTTTGCACATGCTGTTCCTTCTGCCTGGAAAGCTCTTCCACCACATGACTCCTTCTCCTGCAAGGATTGCCCCAAAGTCATAGTCTCTATGAGGCCTACTCTCTCCAGCACT